ATGGTATTTCATATACACGTCACTTGATCGATGTCAGGATATTATTTCTTCTTGCGTTTGGATAGCCGCTCATTCTTGCGTAAGGTTAAATAAATATATTTGTGGGGTTAGGCCAAGTCAATCCTATCTCCGATCAGGCCAGTCTGCTGGTCCGCCTCAAAAAGGTGTCAGTGGTCCCGCCACACTATATGGCAGTTGACGTGTTCACATGGAAAACCCTGTCTTTGGGGTAATTTGTAGGGAACAGAAAAGATTCAAAGTGAACAGAGATCACACACATTATTACATTTTACAGCTCATTGCTTACTTTCCATGAAAACTATTTCAAAATGAATATTAACAGGATAAACATGCTGCGTCAGACGGACAACTGATCATGTACAAATGTGGAAACTCCAATTTGAATGTGACCCACCAGTGAACTCTCCATTCCATTTCATTTTTACCTTGTGGCCTTTGAGGTCTCATAAATGGAAAAGTACATTTAGGTACATGTGTAAATTGTTTTGTGACCGTAACATGCCCAAGTGGAATGTTTTCCCTGTCTGCTAGGCTCAGTGGGACTTAAAGGAATGATCATTTCCAAATTCCCTTTTACTTTTGTTAGTGCATCTAAACCTAAAATCCCCTACGGATGAAATGGTTCAATTCCCATTTTCAACAATTGAATTGAAATTATTGGGTTTTTGAGGCAAGGCAAAGTAAATTTGACTTGTTCCACACTCGGGCAAGGTTTTAAAACTTAGGCAAGTCCCAACACTCTGTTGGTTGAAGAGTTATTAAATGCAACCACTCACATCCATGAACAGATTCATTTAGACATTAATATATTCTTTTTTTTTGTTTCCACTCTTATTTTCATTCTAATATATATTTTTTTATTTACTAAATAAATCATATAATATGCCCTTTTCCCTGCATTTTTTAAAAATAATTTCCATTTTTTTAACGTGTATATCATTTTGCATGCATAAGCTGCTCAAAATTTCACGTATTTTTAATGTCTTAAACCATTTATTGTAAATACAAAACTAAGTTTTACTGACTGTTTGTAATTTAATATTCTACAACCTGATGTGGGGCTGCAGATCTATGGATGTCGATGATTATTTGCTTTTGATGCTTCTGGTAATGGCTTCTCATTCTAGTCACTGAATTGATCAATGTGGATACTTCTCTATCGCCAGCATTAAGTAAGTTCTTGACCAGGTAAATTGTAAAGTAGGCCCCATGTATAATTATGAGTGCTGTTGTCATTAATAGTTCTCAGATCTCTATCATTTATTCTTACCGTAGGGAGGGAGTCATGATTCCCAAATCCTAGCAATCCATATACGACGAAAGACATGTGCATACTCAATCTGTTTTCAGAATGTAGGTAAACGTACACGTACCTTTTAAGTGCTTGACCAAACACTAGAGACTGCCAGGAATAGGCTTACATTAGGAATCTTGAGTCTTCATTTCCTTCATCTACATCACAACTCAGGTGATGCAGTACGTTCATCTGATGATGTCGGCTGATGTCAACTGTATCGTTTCTACAGAAAAATAAAGAATTGAAGAACTTACACCAACTACTAACTTTCACATTAAACCAAACTGTTATGCTTGCGAACTTGAAACTGCCACCTTAAATTTCACTGAACGATCACTGCAACTACTTTGTACCCATCGTTACTTTGAGATCATGTCTCCCAGGAGCAGGAAATGGTTTCTTCACCTTCATAGATGATTCTGTGATGATTCCTACCACTTTCTTTGATTTGGAGAAATTCCCTGTTAGATTTAGCAATACCCATAACATCACTGATAAAAATAATTTTCATGGAGTTCATTGTCAGACACCGACTGTCCATTGTTTGTCTAGATTTGCTCAAACCATTGAGGAAAATGGAACATCAATACAGGTCGAGTTGTGCTGTTTTGCTTTCCTTCCATGCTCCAATTATCTTGAAATTAAGGATATTTGGGGGATGTAATTTGTGTGATCTTATTAAAAGTGAAAGTGGCCCTCAAGGTATGTTGTTCCCAATGCTTACACATCAAATTTGCTGGAACTTTAACCTTTCATATTTCTGTGTAAATTCATCGCGGAAAATTTAGGATAGAATGCTTCTGTGAAATGTCATTAATTAACTCTTCAAGTCAACCTGTATCTTTGTTTTACAAAGTGACCAACACTCGGGCAAAAGCAATGAGTTGAGTGCGTTCTGTAGTTTGCACACTGCAACAAATGACATGTTTCCCACACAATCAATATATATATATAAAGAAAGGAGTATAAGATATCAAATGCAAAAAAAAAAGATTTATGGGAATGATTTCCACATAAACAATCTGCTGACCACATATGAGAAATTTAAGCTTCAGGCCCACTCTTAGGGGATTTGAATTGTTAATTACGGTCAGGGCCAGGCAATATCTAATGTTTGCAGTAACAGCGCTGCAGATACATATCTCTTTTGTGAATTTGTGAGGTTCTGGAGAGAACCTGATTATGTTTTGGGCAGCACAGCCTGTGGTAGCTCTGGAGGACTTTTGCTTGATCCTGACTGTGATGCAGTGTGGAGGCTTGAAGGATGTCACTCTGCAGGCAAAGTGCAGATTGGGTGGCAATGCTGGTGAGGTAGGTAGGTTGCCAAGGGTAAAGGTGACCCATAGGCTATATAGGGGTGCAGTGTCCCAATTCAAGGAAAATTCTCCGCCAGGCCGAGCCGCACAAAAAGTACCCCCAGAGATTGTTTCGAAAAGAGGGGTCTGTTTGGGCCAAGAAGTGGTGAAATTGTGTCAGTATGGTCCAGGATCATCTCTGTAGATTCAGGGGCACCCATCTGGGGGCAAAGCAGACAAAAATGGGATTGAAAATTAGTCAGAAGAGCCCCAGGAAGGTGAGGGATGTCATTTGAAAAATGGCCGTTGGGAGGGCTTGGCAACATTCACGTTTTGGGGGGGGAGTTTGTTTTGGGCGGATAATTAAAAAATTCATTGGTTAATCTACTAAAAATTGAAAATCAAATGAAATCTGAAGGACCAAGCAACACATTGTTTTTTGTTTGAGAGGCCTCAGGGACTTCAGTTGCCTGCCATGGGGCTCCAATTTTGGTTGATTTTACACTATTTTCGATGGAGCTTGAATTGGTTCAGTGCACCCATAGGGCAGGGTGATAGAACTAGTGGCCCTAATCTGACCTTGGGTATAGGAGACCCTCTGGTCTGGTTGTGGGTCTAGGATGTTTAGTCAACTTGGCTAATCTTGTATCCTTTGTCCCTCGATGTGAGGATCAGGTTATGGAGTTCTTGGGATGCTCTTCATCACAGATGCTGTAGGGGCAGCGTATAATGTCCCCCAGGTGAATGGTACACCAGCCACAATGTGTCATTCTGCTTTCTGGAGACACTGACATCAATTGATGCTATGTTGCTCTCTTGCTCCATGGTGAAGGGGATTCAGACAAGGCCGATTTTCACACAGTAAATGCAGCAAAGCTGTTAAAATTAGGATTCTCTCCATGCCGATCTAATATGAATCTGACAAAAACAAAAAAATAAGAAACGTGTGACACGATCAATCAAAATGAGTTCCTTGTTGACACTGCTCAATTTATTGACTTTTTTATACATTTGAAAACTATGCAGCGTCAACTTCAATTTAAAAGCTGTAGTTACTATGACCTGGTGAAGATCAGGATATACTTTTGGTGATTTTTTTTCCATTTACAAGTAAGTTGGCCTGATTATCGATTACAAAGTAAGCCAATTTAGCTGTATGTGTGCATGACCTTAAGCTTTTCTTTCATTTGTTACCAAATTCAATACATTTGATTTCAATTGAGAAGATTAAATTCAGTTATGTAATTGGAATCACACACAAGCAATAGGGGTGATTCACAATAGTGTGCCGCCCAGTTTGCAACGCATTGGCCACCACAATGCACAAAATCTGTTGACCCTTTCCAAATGCTCGTATTAATAGCCATGATCTTAAGCTTTTCACGATGACTAAGCCCACATACATTTACCATTTAAGCTAGTACTTTAATAGCTTTTAGTACCTGTAGCCTAGTTACAGCCCAGGGTAAAATACCACGTTCATAGTTATGGTCTAAATTCTGTTAATGAGGTACGTTTTCTTGGCGCTGCTTTAATTAATAGAAAATGATTTTCTACTAACACAGGATTTGGTATTTAACAAGGCTCTCTTTATACGAAGCTGTCTCATCAGTAAAATTTGGTCTAGAGAAGTTAACCCGAGATAAACAACTAATAAAGCATGCTTATGGTTATTTACCCTCAACAGGTCTATACATGTACATATATTTAACAGACCCAAGTTTTAATGACCTGCAACATGTATTGGGTTTGCTGAAGATCAAGCTCCTAGTGATAAATAGATTATTAATTCAAAGAATATTTCATACTGGTTTTGGTTCACTGCATATAACGACTGACATTTCTCAGGAACATAAAATGGAGAAAAAAGTTGATTTAACCAAGGCTTTTTACTTTCCGAATTAAACACTTCGAAGTGACATGAAATCACGAGTGAAAATCATTTAATTCCTACACTTAATCCAAAGACAAAATCAAGGCAATGCAAGTGTCAGAAATTTAACAAAAAAGCTGTCAACCTAAATTGCTTGTTACATACACACTTGCACTCATATTTAAATTTAAGGACTCGGCAGAGTCCTATATCATAATATCGATTGATTCCAAAAAGCTTTATTGCAGCCTTAATGCCTTTTATAACCCACCTAATTCTTTTCTTAATTCTTCCTTCAGAATTCTCCACTTTTTTCTATTCTGATCTTAGCCTATAAATAATTATTTCATCCTGTTTCATTTTTATCTAATTTCATTAGTCTTGATGGTTTTACTTTATTCATTTTATTTCTGCTACTTCATTTTATTATTTGTTTTATTTCTTTATGTACTGGAATGATTAAACCTTTTTTAACATGTACATTTAGATATATTTATTTTAAATGTGTTTTTGTATGGTCAGTAGCATAGGAAATCGAGGCTCTTAGGTCAGTTATTAAGTCAACTTTTCATCTCCCGGCATCTGCTGCTGGCCTTGTGTATATCTTACATGTACATGTATTGTCTGTCTTGTGCATTAATAATAAAGAGTTGTGTATTTCTGTCCCTTGACAAAGAGAACAAAATTATAAATCAGTTGAAACAGCAACACATACCAGTAACTTTACCATTTTCAAATTCTATGTCGCTGAAATCAATCAAACTACATTTGATTTAAATCCTATTGAAATTGGTGATTTACAAGTATGTAAATCAAGGTTGAGCATTTGGAAAGATGGACACTTAGTGTTAGATTATTCATTTTGGGCATATCTAAAAAACAATCATGACAAATGACTCATTTTGCGTAATCGTGTCACACAGCAACGTACATTATGCTATCAAACCAGACCAAATCCAGACACAAAATACT